GTTTTACATGTCTGATTGCATTCATATAAACACTTTGATTCTGTCTGGCTATTCAGTGGCCATTTGACATTTGACTCTTACTGCATATACTGTTGTTGTGACACTTCTTTGTGGTAACACATTTGCTAATGGCCCTTGGCAGAAATACCAGAATACTGAAGTAACTTTACTAGATCACAGTACAGAGATATTCAAAACGCTCCACTACCTTAGCAATTTACTGCACAGCATCAAGAACCCTCTTGGCACACGGGATAACCCAGCACGCATCTGCAGGGATTTGCTTAATTGTGAACGTAAAGTGTCAGATGGTAAGTGCCCACTTTCACACAAGTACCATTAGAAGGTGTTGCTTCCAAATGTTGCTTTCTACATTAAAATTCTGATCTGACAGATTTAATGTTTTTATTCTCTTTTATTGTATTCTCTTGCAGTGTGCCTGTCACAATTATATATATTTCATCTTTAAGATAAAAATTTCTGAATTTTAAAGGTGGAAGTATGTAGCTATCTAATATTATATAAATATCAGACAGACTTTATCAATCAGCAAAAAGAAGTATCCAGAAATTTTGAATGTAATTTTGTGATACAGAGTTTTCCATTTAAAGCTAATTTTGCAATGAATTTTCATGGATCAGATTCTAGATTCCTAATGAGAAAATTTTATACCATCCATTACCACTGCCAGATACACTGACAGTCATTGTATCTCAGAAGCTCCTGAATCAATATTTCAAATAAAAAACCCCTCCTATTTAAAGCTCTAATGTCCGTGTAATTGTAATCAGAAGTGATTTATTATGTTAATTTTTCTCAGTATCTGTTGCTAGTGTAATTTTAATAGTGAAAACATTTTCATATTCCTTTCCTTTCATTTCCTTGTGAAGGTATGGTAATAATATAAGTAATATTTGCCAAGAAGTATGAACATTTTAGCAAATTGCTTAGTAGTAATTATCCTTTGGTTTTATTTTCTGTCTGGAATTATATACCAATAGGAAAATACTGGATTGACCCAAATATTGGATGTCCTTCTGATGCCATTGAAGTTTTCTGCAACTTCACTGCAGGTGGTCAGACATGTTTAACACCACTGTCTGTGACAAAGGTATGCATTGCTTTTAGAGACGCTGTGTCTGTGCTTGAACTCAAAACAAATGCATGCTTATTTACTTAAATCATTAAAAAGTGTTAGATTTCAGAGAGGTATTGTTGTGCATCTTTGTGGAAGGACATTTTATATATTTTGGTACAGAAGTTACAGATTTTCTGGACAGTATATATGTTAGTAATTCTCACTGTGTTCATTTACTCACCTATGCTGATAGAATTATTTTGCTTTTTACTTTCTAATGCAAGGCATAAAAATAAGCCTGAAATACTTCTAAGCTACATTAGTATCTCATCACTCGGCATTTAAGTGTCGAGATGCTGAGGTTGTTACAATAGAAAGGATGAAAATTATTACTGCTTTCCAGCACTTAGGGACTTTTAAATGCCATTAGGGAGGGGCTAGTTACCTGTACATCATTAGTTCATCCTCCTCTTCCCATGCAGTTCTTGAACTCTTGGAAATAGAAATTTTATGTTTGTGAAGTTCTTTATATACACTGTAGTCACTGAAGAGCTTCAGAATTACTCTGAAGTTCACATACGCATTCCTACATTTGGAAGATCCCTGAATATGAAATAGTCTTGGATAAATTCTTCTTGATTAATTAGTTACTATATTTTTTATAAAATCAAAATATACTTACGAACTTTTACATTTGGACTATCAGTATTGCCAGAACCTGTGGTCTAAGAAGACTAAACAGCAGAGTGATGTGGCTTCAATTAAAACACTACTGCTGATAATATCTTCGAATCACAAAAGCATTTGTTTCAGTTTCCTTGTTTAAAAATACTGTTTTCTGACCAGCTGTGCTTCAGCAATGTTGTAAGCACCAGCAGATGTTTATATTTAAGCTTTGAAAATGTCCTATGAAAGCTTCTGTTTATAGTAATGGCTGTAATAGAACCTAACATCTCTGCTGAGGAATGCAAATCATGCTCTTTGGCATTGACCCCAATGTATATAAACATGTATACATGCTCCCATGCCTGAACACCACACTTACATGTCCATGGCACTTTGTGTTGCTGTGGCCATTCGGCACAGTCCAGCTGTATGTCTAACAAAGCTTTTCTCTCGGAATTTAGCTGGAGTTTGGTGTTGGAAAAGTGCAGATGAACTTCCTTCATTTACTGAGCTCAGAAGCAACCCACAGCATCACAGTCCATTGTCTAAACACACCGATGTGGGGATTAAATAAAGCTGGTGGCCGGAAGACATCAGTTACCTTCAAAGGGTGGAACGGTCAAATATTTAAAGCAAATACGCTACTTGAACCTAAAGTGCTTCTGGATGAATGCATGGTAAATACCTTTTAGCACCACACTAATAATGTGATGACAGAGGTACTGTTTAGACATTGCTAACCTTCTGCAAAATAATAACAATCGTTTAGATTCACATCCCTTAAAGCTTGCTTCTTTCCATAGCTCTGCATATGCCAGTCTTTAGATACTGAATTCACCATCTCTTCAAGGGCAAAAGCAATTGCAGTGATACAGGGTATCTACGCTTGCTGTTTGCATTGTGTCTCATGTATTTTGAGATGGTAGGAAGACACTGCAGAGACATCAGCACAGAAATAGGGAGGTCCTCCAGGAAAATTTAGAAACAAGTCCCCTCAAAATGAAAATTCAGAAATGGAATTTTTTTAATTACAGTTCCTTTAGGAACTGCTGAGAGAAGAAATGTTTCTGTGCACTACTTCTCTTTCACTCTGTAAGTGCAATTTGCATTTGTGTTTAGAAGCTCATCTTTTATGCAACTCTAATATGCTCCTCCTGTGTGTTTCAGATTGAAGATGGCAGCTGGCATAAGACACAGTTCTTTTTTCACACTCAGGACACGAACCAGCTTCCAGTTGTTCAAGTTAATGCACTTCCTCACCTCAAACCAGGACAGCAGCACTTCATAGAAAGTGGCTCTGTATGCTTCCTTTAAGATTTCTGTCCTAGGTTTCTTGTTCCATCACCATGGAGTTGCTGCATAGATTGAATACTAAAGTAATGATCCATTGCAGGCAAAATTACTAGGAAGCTGATGAATCATTTCAAGTGTTGTTGGTTAAAGAACCTCAGGAAGAAAAAGACTTCCTCCTAAGGAGAAATGGGATTGAAAAATAAAAGAAAGAAAAGACTAAAGAAATTTTCTTCAAGTATTTAAAAATAAATTTCTTGGTGCTTTCTTGCATAATTTTCTGGAATGGAGTATCTGAACATGGAGTTTTTCAGGACGTCAAGTGTTCTTAGCAATCTTTTTAACAGCACTGCACAAAAACCATCCTGAGGAGAGCTGGAGACATATGATACTGAGGAGCAATACCTACTAATGCTCCTAAATGTGCAATAGCTTCTATATGAAAAGTGAATCATGCCACAGTACAGTACAATAAGTCCTCTTAAATATTGTTTTATTCCAGTCCATCGTGGATACACACATCTAAATAGATGGCACACTACCTCTTTCATGTTTCATGTCCGTGTTGCCTTGGTGCTCTTCATAACACAGGGTGCTTGTGGCCTTAGCAGAGATTGAGTCCCTTTTTATCTTTCAGACTGTATGTGCTGGTTACATCAGGATAGGTTTGTTGTAAAGGTACTTATTTTAAACCATTGGTCACATACTTCTCATAATGAAAACATTATTTATGTGGATTTCTTGTTTAAAACATTTTTGTGTACTATTTTGGAAATGGTGTATAAGACAGCATATTGTATATGATGCATATAGTCAGAACAGTTTGTTACAGCCATTGTAAAAATCGTTGTAAGAAGAGCTACCTAAAGTAGTTTTGATTTTTAAATTCTGTATTTCAGTTTATTGCCAAAGCCATCTTAAGATGATATATTCTGTATATATTTTGTAACTTCTGAAAAAATCCACTACAGTGTGACTTCTGAATGGCTGCTGGTAAATTTTAATCAGCATTTCATCCTCTTTAAAAATTCAATTTTTTTTGCAAAAGTTATGAGATCATTTTGGGGTTTTAAAATTAAGCCTAAAATGTTCCATGAAGTTTGGTTTTTTTCTTTTAAAAAGAACAGTTTTACCATTAGGAAAAGCACTCTTTATATTTGATATGCCTCTATTGTTATCAGTTAAAAGTGTGCTCAGGAGTACATGGCAAGGTGATAACGGACTGTCTTTGAGGGAGCCCAGGAGTGTTCAAACAACCTGTCTGTCTTCATCTGCAGGAAACCACACCACCAAAGTATAATAAAATAAGCTTCCAAACTATCTCTTTGTCTTTTGCTATTCTGTTTCATACTGTATAGGTCATTCTTAGAAATTATGAAAATCCTCTAGAAGGGCACTTTTCCTAGGTGGCAGCACTTCTCTTCCCGAGGGGAAATGCATATCCTCTGTGCCATGGAATACTGCCAGAGACAATGGTTGCTTTTACTAAGTAATAGTAAGTTGTTTTTTTACTGAGTAATGTGCATACCACCTTAAATTTTGCATCTAAGCATCATTTTAGACCACTTTGACAACAAGCTGGTAAAACAAAAAACAGCAAGATTACAGAAGGTTGAGAAAATGTCTCACTTCTTTGCATTTTCAAGATCAATACCTTGACATTATGATTTGACATTTGCTCTTAGATTGGCTTTGGAGGTGATGTTTTGGCAAATGTTTGGGAGTATTTTGTAATATTATAAGGTTTTAGAAAATGTGTGCTTCGTTGTATGTATTTGTTCATCTCTTTGTCCTATTTTGGGGAGTTCTTCATCTCAGAAATTATCTCTTTAAAAAGCAAGGAGTTTAAAGTCTTACAAGGCTGCTCGGATGTGAGTATGTGCATTTCCGTAGGCAGAAATGCACATCCCACGCAGACAGCGGGGATGCCGGCCTGCTGCAGCGGGACACGGACCGGTGAGGCGCGATGTCCGCTGTCACCTGGGTGCGCTTTGGCAGCACTGTGCTGGTGTGCGGCGCAGTGAGCGGCTTGGGAAGCCGTCCCTGTGCTCTGGAAAGCCCCCGTGGCTGGGACATGGCAGGTCCCGGAGCGCCGCAGGTCCCGGAGGGCAGCAGGCCCCGCAGCTCCCGGTGCGGCGGGTCCGGGC